TGTAGCTCGCCGTGCTACTTTTCCAGCAGCTGTCGATGTGGTTGCACAGCAGAACATTTTTTCCCCTCTTGTCTTCTCTAGGAGTTTGCTTTTATCCAAAGTGAGTCAAGAACTATAGAAATTAATTAAAATTCTAATGAGCTCTGACAGGGCAGTTTGAGAAGTGACTCGGGGTTTAGTGAATAGAGAAGATTGATAGAGGTTAAGCTGTCCTTCAGATTCCTACAGGTGATCTGTGAGGGAAGAGAGTACGGACACTGAACTGATGATTTTTCGTTTAAGGAGTCATTTGGTCATGCATACACAAGCATTGCAGACCTTTCGCCATCTCTTTTCCTTCTCCTTCTAAAATCAAGAAAATTATTCCATGTAATAGGCGCCTTTTTTTTTTTTAAGCTTGGTATCTTAAAAGTAATTTCTCACAGGAAAGTCTAAAGACAGCCTCTTGATTGCCGGTAGAATGTCTCATCTTGTTCTGTCTTGAAGATTCTAGATTCTTTTAATTGTTCATTGTTGGTACTACATGAGAGCTTCGGAATTAACATCACCTTCATGTTGCTGTGTCTTCCTGAAAACTGCATCTGTTTCTGTTGGACTGTTTTGAAGAAAAACACATTTCAGTTTCAAGGGCCTCTGAAATGAGGGAGGCCCATTTTACAGAGTGCAAAATGGGAATTTATTTTGCAGCTTATCTAGACTCTGAAAATCTTTAAATCGCTGGATTTTAGATTTTTTTTTTAATATATAGTTTTAAGTAAGAATTTTTAATGTATCAGACTAAAGTACTGTAAACCAACAGACAGTGTTTCACCTTGTTAAAAGTGGTGCAGAAATTTAACTGCAACATTTGCATGTAGGACATGTTATACTAACTGCAGTATCCCAGCTCTAGATGTCACTATAGACATGGTTTTGAAAAGAAGTAGACTGAATGACCAGTTTCCAAATCATCTGAATGGAGGAAAGTGAATTAGTAAAAAATCTGTGAGGCTGATACAGTCATGCTACTTTTTTTTCTTCAAGCTCTCTGTGAATGTTAATTTGATCTGCCAAATGTTTATCATTATCTGATGTCCCTGTAGGAATTAGGTGTCTTTTAGACACTTTTGTGCTCCCTTAGCTCTCGACTGATTAGGAAGAGTTAGACAGGAATACTTCAGCTTGCTGTAGTTTGGTGCCAAAAATTTCATCTGACTTGGATAGGTGACAAGATCCACCAAAGCTTCTGGAGCACGACAGCTGCAGCCTGTGATAAGCTCCTGCATGCTCCAGATTCACCTCTGATGACAGACTCAGAATGTGAAACCTTTCACAAGATGACCTGTGGTTGTCTTAATTTCCTTCCCTGCTCTGTGCGACCAGGCATTTCTTGAGACTATCACTTGACCCCTTCACCATTGCTTAAAGGCTTTATAATCAGTGACAATTGTACTTTTGCTTCGCCTTCAGCTGAAGTGATCCTGCATTCAATCCCTGCTTGGAAGTTGGATTGAATGATAAGGAAAGTATAAAAACCTAATGCAGGGAGGTGGAAAACTCAAGACAGCTATGCATCAGACATGTGAATGTCAAGAACGTTTTCCCTTACCTCAACATTTATTCCTATTCTGCCAACCTAGTGATATAGGACTCGGACATTCCTTTTGTTTGAGAACCTTGCTGTGTCAGAAATACCCAGGAGATGGCTACCGAAAGCAACACTGAAATGGAGTCTTTTCAATACAGAATGTTATTACACAGTAGTTTGTATGCAGAATTGTCTTTATGTAAGAGAACAAAAAAGGAAAATGGGAGTGATGTGGGTCTGAAATGAGATACTTGGCTTTTTCCCTAAAACCCGTGCTAGAGTTTGAGTACCATTTGTCACTGCTTGAGCTGCCAGTATTCAACAATAATTAAGGTATTTTGTTACTGTAATCTTTAAAAAGTGATGCGTGGGAGAGGCCTTCAAAACAAGACAAAGAAATAGGAGAAAAATGGCTTATCTCTCCTTCACTATATTCTGCACTGCAAAATAGTGTTTTCTCTTACTTCACCCTTAGGAATGAGAAAGTAACAAATTGGGTTAACTCTGCATTAAAGTGTTTTTTCTCTTAACATAAATACAGCTGAAGATATTTCCCTTGTACACAACACATTTATTACAGGCAATAATGCATGCCTCGAGATTTAATGGAACAAAAAGCAAATAAACAAAATGTCCTCTATAGCTGTAATCTATCTTGAAGAAATAGAAAAAAAAACGATAGATATGCCTCTGCCACTCTAACTGCCAAGGATGCTACTGGTCATTGAACTTCCTGAAGGTTCTGTGTTATAGAATTAATAAGTATGATTTTAAAAGCTGAAAGTGGTGGGATTGTTGTATTTAGGTGAACTTGAATATTTCCAATCCCTATGGCTGTGAATGTGGTGTAGAGTACTTAAAGCAGCAATGTGCATTTAGCTCAGTCACATTTGGTCAGCATTCAGTATTTTGAGTTGTTAAGAGTGTGTGGGAAAGGTTGCTTTATCTTGTCTTGATAGTTTCACTGAGTTACCTGTTAGTAAGAGGATAGACTAACACTGATGTTGGTAGAAGACTTCTGTGCTTTCTACTGAAAGTAGAATGTGATTCAGATCAAGAAATAGACTAAACATTGTAGAAGTTATGAAGCAGGACAGTGTTCTCTAAAAAGCGTATTTCTTCTGTGTTTATTGCATATTTTTTCCACCTGTTCATTTTTGCAGTAACTTCAACACAATCTTTTTTATCAGTAAAGCATGAAGAAGTTTTACAAGCCTCAGTTAGCCTATACCATGATGCTTATGTAGCATTTTATATAGTTGCTGAAATCTTGTTATAAAAATGCCTTTGAATATAACTGATACAAAAGTAATTTAATCACATCAAGACCTTTAGTTTCTGGGCTTTTATGTTTAGTTCACTCCAAATACTCAACTTTCTTCCATGATTTCCACGCAGTTTGAGTGCTTGTATGTGTTTCTGTGGTCAGTAAAATACTTGGTGTGAAATTGCAGCCAGGGCAAGCTTGTAGGCTAAATGTAGACATCCAAAATTTTTATTGCAGGGTTATCTCGGTAGGTGTGAATGCTTGCTTCCAACATGTGGTCATCTAAGCAGATAAAACTGCTGAAGTAAAAATACACGGTTTCTGCCTCCTCTGCTGTTCAGATTCAGTTCAGTATTTCTGTGACTGGAAGTAAAAACACTTTTTCCAGAGAGTAGGACTAAGCATGATTTATGCACTGCGCTGTGTTTACCGTACCTGTCAGGGAAATCAGTAGTAGGGTTGGGAAGACAGAATTGCTCACTACCTTTTTTTATGAAGTTTTGGGTGAGTGACAGGATTTTTCAGAATACGTAATATTTTGTAGCACTTTTTACAGTTGGTACACTCTTCTTGATCTCTGTTGCAAAGAATATTGTACAAGGGAAGACCTTTATGTAATAAAGATATGTATTTATGTAAAAAATACAAGACAGACCGTTATGTAATCTCCCACAAAAATGTTAAAACCCAACGAAACAAATACTAACCACATAACCACCTGTTTTGCACTGCTGTCATACTGTTAATGATCATTAAATGTTTATCGTTGAATATATTTTGTATACCAGTAAATAATAAGCATTTATGCCCTCCTAATGAAACCATGGAATTTACTGCACAAGATTATACTAGGAGTATGGAAATTCAGGTGATTTCTTTTGCTGGGTTTTGTTTTTAATCCTAAATACCGGGTGTTAGAAATGACTGTGTATATGCGTTTCATCCTTTTTTTTTTCCTTCACTTAATATTAGTGTATATTCAGATATGATGCAGTTTTGTAGCTCTTTTGTGCTTTATGCACTCTTCTATAAATGGGCTGGATTTAAATGTTGTTGTAAAGGAGGTGCCTTCTGGAGCAGCATGTGTTAATCCACCCTTGAGGTGGAGTGTGTGTGTAGCCCTTTTGGGCGAGTATGGTATCCTGAGAGCATTAAGGCCATGTACCCATAAGGAAGCCACTGCCTCAGCTGTTGAACAGGACTGCCGTCGATAAGACAGCAAGAAAAATGATTCCTGACCAAGCTACAAAGCACATATAAAACCCATTCTTCTCAAACACCAAGTAAAATCCAAGGCCACCAGAGATTCTCTTCATCTGGATATGTCATCCCTGCAGGTTATCCATCACCATCAAAGCTTTCTCTTCAGGGACCCTATTTCAGACGTACTTTCAGTAACACTGAAGTAATAGGAAATGTCAGAGCAGGATGGTAAATTAGTTACATCTTAAGTCTGGGATTTCTGTTCTTTTAGTACAAAGCTCTAGTAAAGCTTTTTCTGCGAAGACTAGAATTTAAAAAGTGCATCATTTCTTAACACAGTTTTTTTTTACTCCTAAAAAAAACAGTTAGTATACCAAAGCCCTAATATGGTGGCCATAGCTAAGGTAACCAATGGCATTTTTCAGTGACTTTAGAATAAGATATCATCAAGAACTTTATGCAATAAAGAGATTGAATGTCTTTTTTAGTGCTCTCTGCCTGTTTTCTTAAGCCTTTGATACATGGTTCAGCCATCCCAGAGAAAACATCTGTGCTTTGTTCAGCATTTTTTGTAAAGGAAACTTGTGTCCAAAACCTGTGACATTTTTACTGATGATAAGAGAACTGTGTCCTCAACTTCAGCCTAGTTTCTGCCTCCTTCCTTGATTATTTAGGTAGAAAACACTCTCCATAGATCAAACATAAAATGTCTTCTGCATTAAATGGATAAAGGGATATTACACAGTTGAGTGTATCAATCACTTGGATTCCTTTGGATATACACATCGGATTTATTATGGCTCATGTTGATGTAGCAAAAACGTTAAAACAAACAAACAAAAACCCCAAGGAATATGTTACCACTTTATTTAAATATTTACCGTTTCATATCAAAGTCTGGTTATAGGTAGTTAAAATGAGTTTATTGTTCCTTATATTCTACTAAAATCTTTCCATATTCCTTCACGTGTCAGGACTCTCTTCAATGAAAATATCAGGGTTACGTTTGTGCTGTTCAGATGTGGATCTTGTAAACAGGCCACACAGACTTTTCTTAAATGTTTTATCTAGCAGAAGGGTTATAACTGGATCTAAGCTACTCTTAGCAGCAGCAAGACAAGTAAGGAAATTTTTAATTTCCACTAGGTAGTTTAACCTTGGGCAGTCATTATTTGTAAGCATTACATAAAAAATTGGCCTAAAAATATGATATGGAAGAAAACAGACAGTTAAGATCATCTGGATGACAAAAATGTTTCTTTTCACTGTTCTGTAAATCAGATGTTTTTCTTCAATACAGGTATTTCTTTGTATTTCGCTCAGATGTCTGGTAAGAGAATAGTATGACAACAAAACCATCATAAAAGACAGAAAAAAACACCCAGTGGCAAGAACCATTGCACCAAGTTCGCCAGCTTCTACCCTGATGTTGTAGCATCTGGGAGATTCTTCCATAGTCCTTGCCCGGGCATTACGTGTTATAGCTATTACTGTTACGCAGAGCACAGTAAGCCATATAATGATGCACAAATATTTAGCAAATTTTGGCTGACGGAACTTTTTCAGTAGAAATCTCTGACAATTTTCATTACCTGCTTGAGAGTATTGTGCGTCACTGTTTTTCTTCAGTGTTGCGTACTGACTTAGAGCAATTGAAGATAAAATCATGATCGTAACATACATATTGACATGCATAATGAGAGTCCCAAGGTAGTTTACTATTCCGCATGGTACAGAGTTGTAGGTCCATTGGTACCCTCTTGCAAAATAGACAGTCAGAAAAGGCATAGTGCTACATATGAGTAAATTCGCACTGACAAGGTTTACCAGGTAAATGTATTGTGTTCTTTTTGTGAGGGCTTGCCTTGAAAATATCCAGGCAGCAAGAATGTTTCCAATACTTCCAGCAGGAAATAGGAAAGAGTAGATGACTGGTAGAGCTACAGTAGTAGCTAACGATGGCTGAAGAAGACATGTTGAATTTTTCATTTATGCCAGTATTTCTTGAATGAATGGCCAGAGCTGAAACACAGTTGAAATAATTATTTTTATGTGCATCTAACATAATTGCCATTTATTGCTCTTACTTTTATTCCTTTTTCTCCCCTACTTTCCAATGTTACTAACTGCTTTATTATCTGGAGTTTGCAAGAGGTTACTGTTTGTGTTTTCTATTCCACTGAGATTTTGTGAAGAAAAGTTTGCTGATGTTAAGACCCAAAGATTTTGTGTGCATAGAATCTAATAAAATAAATGAGGAAACAGAAGTTTCAGGCTAGGGTCTGACAATAACTTACGGGGTCTTGGTTTACTTCTCAATTTTCTGGAACACCTGTAATTTACTTTAGAAACCACTCATAGACTATTTTAAGTTAAATAAGCAAAATAAGTGCAAAGTATTACTTTAATTGCAGAAATGCAAAGGAATTTCCTGTACCTCCTTTTAAATACAAATTAAACTGTTCATAATGCTGGAATGTGGCTAGATGCATTTATTTTGTGCTCATGTCTGTATCTAATGTTACTTTGTTCAGAGCTTTTCTCTTAGATGTACATTTTGCATAAACAATTCAGTCCGTATTTTTAAATTATTGAAAACTGCAAAACGTTTATTTTTCCAACTTCAGTTTTCAATCATTTCTCAATTTCCAGATTGCAAATAAAAAATCAAAGCTCTATACAGTGATTGCCTTTCAGCTTACTAACCTGTAGTGAAGAGAGATTTTCTTGTACAGATACTATTATAGTGAAGTGTACCCTAGATAGCTTTTGTTCCATATAAAAAAGCATTAACAGATTTCAAACTTAGACTGATAATAAGGGTTGTTTTTTTTTTTTAAACAGCTGTAAGCAATTGAACACAGGTACCAAAGAGGATTCTTTGTAGCTATGATACATAGCCCAGACACCAGGTTAATTAGATAGCAAAAAGTTGTAAAAATCATATTTTAAAATTAGGCTGTGGGCCATGTTTGACAACTTGCAGATTAAACTAACTTCTACAGCTGTTGCATTTTAGTGTACACTCAGTCCTGTATGGATTGTTGAACCAAAATGCATTCAATTCTTTTATTACAATCACTTAAATTCACAAATTGTTTAATTCAGTCATTTAGCGGTCTAGAGATCATTTGTGTGTCAATGCAATGCCCAGATTTTGTCAGATGAAACAACAAAGTAGTAATTTTAAGCTTACCTATGCAAGCTGCAGACACTTCACTTTGCAGAGAGGAAATTTTTCTGTCTGTTGTCCTTTTTATCTCCACTGCTGCAAGGAGAAGGGTGATATTTGAATCTGGAAAGTACAGTTAAAAGCAGTATCTCTCTGACATAAGCAGGTTTTCAGAAAGTACACTTTTCTCGTACAGTGTCAAGAGGCGGCTAGGCATTTGAAGTTCAAACAAGATGATGTTGTCTGTGCAAGAGAGACTTTGAAGTTAGGTCAGGTTTCATGCAGCTCCATTAGCAAAATAGAAAGAGTGAGACAACATGGAAGAGTGATTGTAACAGTCCTTTGGTTGTGCAGGTATGACATGAAAATACCTTACAATCGTTTATATAGTGCTTTCCTCATTTTGGGCGTGGAGGGATTGTTACTGTCATTCTCTTTAGGACTGCCCACTTTCCAAAATTAAAAGAATAATAAAAAAAAAAATCGTTACTATTTTATGCATGAAAACTTGAATTTTCAATGACATTTAACTGTTCTTCAGTTCCAAGAGCTGTCACAAAGCTGACTGTCTATTCTCGAAGCCCACATGTAGTAATGCTGTATCCATGTCTGTCCTCACACGAGTGACCAAATAAACACGTCCCCCAGTGTGCACAGGACAGGTTCCTCCCTCCATAGGAAGGGTTTGGTCACAGATCAGTCAAACTCTGTTTAGCGCTGCAGACTCAGACTTTTGAGTTTCCTTCCGTCTGATACATCTGTGATCATCAGATATGACTTTTCAACAGTTGTAAGTGAGAACAGAGGAAACACCATATAAAAACTTCTGCAATTTTGGCAAGGTTCTCGTTTTGCTTTATGTTTAAACATACACTGTGAGAATGCACCTCAGTGATCTACTATCAATTTTATTGTTCAATCTCATTAGTGATTTTTTTTTTTTTTACTAAAATGATGGACGTGTATGCTGACCTCATCTTTAGACTACATAGTTTATCTCATTTAAGATTAAATTGAGGGAAGTTTGCTGTGGAGTATTAATAAGTACTTTGGAATGCTGTAATTAGTGTGCTTGTACTTTAATTCTTGTTCCTGTTAGATTTAGATTGCTTGTTCCTGTTTTATTTTTTCTACTTTTGAATGTAGAGGGTTTTTGGTTTCTTGTTTGTTTGGTTTTGGTTTTGTTTTTTGTTTTTTGGGTTTTTTTCTTTAAAAACAGAAAGAGGCTTGTATTAATTAAATATTTAATAGTCTCTTAAGTGGTCTTAGAAGTCCTTGTTACTGTGGTGTTCCATCCAGGTTTAGACACAAGAATGCCTATCTTTAACATTTTCTAAGAGGAGAAGTGAAAAAAATTATGTGAGCAATTCCATTTAACAAGGGATTTTTTTAATTCTTATTATTCAGTTGGTTATTAACTGTAGCCTGTAGTGTTTGTAATTTGATGGCCATAATGCTTGCTGCAGGAAGATATAATGCTATGTTTTTTTCTGAATTATTATATTATAATAGATTATTAGAGTGAAGCACAGTGAGATGAGTAACAAAGGCAGGGGATATTGTAAGGGTTTAAAAAAACCAAACAAACCAGAAATACAGTTAAAGTTAGTTCTAAGCTATAGAAAGCACCTTTGTTATTCTTTTACAGGTTATTTCCATTCACCTAACTTATAAATGGTGTATTTCATCTAAAATGTATTTGAGGATATTCAGATAGTACAAGTGCATCTTTTATGATGATTCACATGTATTTGAGGATATTCACATAGTACAAGTGCATCTTTTATGATGATTTACATGTATTCTTCACCTCAATTATTTATATTCTCTCTACCTTTAAACCATGATCACTGTCTAATTTATACATGTTGCTAGAGTTAATATACCAGTAAGCAGCGTATGTTGCATTTTGCCATTGTATGCAGATGACTTATTTTGTGGCCCAAAAGCACAAAACCAGGGAAATACCCAGCGATGAAAGATACTTCAATCAGCATTTATAAGCCATACCTAGCGTGTTCTGTAATATAATCACGTGTGACACAGTGGTCCGCTCACAGGCTGCCTGGCCACTCCGTCTCCCCTCCACCTGCTCGGGAGGATAGAAGACAGTCCAGTCAACCTCATACCTCCCTGTGCCTGTCACAAACCCAATGGAAAACTGGACGGTTCCTGCTGTACAACAGAGTATGCAGTGTGTTGGCAGCAGTTGCTCCTTGTAGAATGGCAGAAGGCAACAGCTCAGTTACCTCTGTCTCCTGTAGCAGTCCTGGCTCTCTCTGTGCTGTGGGAAGCCCAAGAGATGTGCCTGGTCTCTGCGTCTTGAAGGATGGAAGGCAACTGCTGAGGATAGGGCATGGAAAAGTGTGCAGCCCTGGGTGTGGCTGCTATGGGTGCTGAGGATGAATCACACTGAATAAACCTATAGCATGTACTGAACATCCAGTAGCCTTTAACTTGAGATTTAATTTCACATATGTGGAATTTGATCTACTGTATGGTATTTAATACCAAGATCAAAACTATTGATATTTGTCTGTCCTCATGAAAAATGTGAATTTGCAGGTTAGAACCATAATTACAGTTAATCTCAGTGTGAAGCTGAATGTTGATGTTGTGGTTTAACCCTGGTAGGCAGTTAAGCTCCATACAGCTGCTTGCTCGCTCTCCCTCATTGGAATGGAAAGAGAATCAGAAGGGTAAAAGTGTGAAAACTTGTTTATGATTCTGTCTTTTCACCCTCCTGTTCCTGTGGCTTCTTCTCTGCTACAGAACAGTCTGCTTTGTCTGATGCTCCCTCCTTTTCCCGCTAACATGCTATGGTCAAATCTGTCGTTATGTTGAACCCTTTGAACCCCACATTGGGTACCAACAAGGGTTGTTGCAGTTTAATCCCAGTAGGCAGCTAAATCCCACGCGGCTGCTCGCTTGGTTCACCCTGCAGTTGCCTGGGGGGTAGAATTGTTAAGGTAAAAGTGAGAAAACTCATGATTTGAGATAGAGAGTTTAATAAATTTAAAGAAAAGCAAAAATAGAATAAAAACAAAACCAAGAAAAACAAGTGATGCAAAAGAACCCAGCTGCTCACCACCAGCTGACCAATGCCCAGCCAGTTCCTGAGAAATGGCAGCCCTGGCAAAATTCCTCCCCAGATTTTATTGCTGAGCATGAGGTCTTATGGTATGGGATGACCTTTGGTCAGCTGGGGTCAGTTGTTATTCTGGTTATAAGCTTGTATCTGGCAAACAGTTTTGTTTCTTGGCTTAGGTTTTCCATTCGTTTTAAGGAGTATATGTATGATAGTGTAGCTATTAATGTATCTGTCAAGTCTAAAAGGTATAAAAATGTATATATGACTAGCCAGCATGTATACTTCATATGCCTTGTGTAACTACTATTTTTTCTAATGAAGGATGTGCGCTCCTTTTTACGTAGTGAAAATGAGGTGACATTTTGGTACACTGAGTGAAATTTGAGGATGTGTTGTAGATTTGAATAAAGAAGGAAAATTAGGTTCATGAAGGTTATGGAGGGAGGTGCACTGACTTAGCCTACAAAAGAGGAACAAATAGAATGATTTTCATGTTGAAATTCAGCTGAAGACTCAACCAATTGCTGTAGTTGGCCCTGATAGTACTTAGGAAGCACTTCTAAGACAAGAATTAATAGACGCTTTTAAAGTGTCTAATTATATGGTTGTTTGACATGTCACAGTGTAACTTTCAGCAGATATCACAGGAAGTTTAAGGACTGTTTGTGCTTCGGTTATACTGGTTAGGCTCAAATTTGGAAAAATTGATTGCAGAAAAAATATGTA